TTTTTTTACCATAACACAGTACAGTGTTTAAAGAATTTTGAAAGAAAAATCACATTACAATATGCTGTACATTTTTTATCTATTTCTGCTACTTGGTGAGACTTAACCTAGATATGCCCTTTGGAGTCCTGTGAAATCCTTTCTGGACTTATACCATACAGAACATGGTTCTACTGTGAGAAGAAGCAGAGTACATTCTTTATTTCTTTTTGTAGGATTTAGTAATGAGATCCAATTTTCACTTTGATAAAATTCTTTGGCATTGTAAGAAATAAATAGTTCAGAATCGGGAATGTAAATTCTCTAGTGCAGGGACCACCAGCGCACCCCTTTAACAAAAGAGTGCATCATAGTAAAAATAAACCCGACAGCTGTGAAGAGTGAAATGTATTTCTCATTTCTCAGCAATCTGAAGAATGTCACCGGGTAACTTTAATCCTCTTCCCATTACCATGTAAATGTGTACTTGACATAGAGCACCCTAAACTAAATGGATATTTTTAAATTGTCATCTTATATTTTCCCTGGTCATAAAGCTAATACTCTTTGCTACTTAAAGCCACCAATAAGAGCCCACTTCTACAAACCTGCCACACCTTTCCCCAATCAGCATTACATAACTGACGGCAGGTGACGTGGGTGACTGATAACCTCCCGGCTTCTTATCGCTCTATGAGCAACGACCCAGTTACGAGAAGGACAGCTCGCGAGGAATAACACAAAGAGGCACGGATAGAGGGCAGCTTACTGTTTCCAAAATCCAACTTTTTCTCTGACAGATGACTACTCTTAGTGAATAAATTAATTTTACTGTTAACTATCTGTGAGAAACAGTTAACTGCAGATGGTTGAGATCAAACGAGGTCCATTTCTGGGCGTGGCTTTCTTTCTGCTTATTTATTCATTAGGTGAGGTATTACGGTACAAAGAGCAAGAAATAATTCCAGTTGAGGGATGGAATTTACCTTGTTTAGTTTTGGGAAGTGCTCGCCCAAACTCTACGAGGAGTAGTGATGTGGGGCACGGTACTTCTCAGGAAATGCAGGATGGGTATTAATTTCAGCCAAAGCACTCTGACTGATCTCCCAGGGGGTACACAGTCCTGTGCAAGTGGGGACCCTGATCTCTAGAAGGACTCTGATCCTAACAATTACTTGTCAACCAGATTAAGAATTAAAAACAACTTCTCTTAATCTAAAGACTTCTCTCGCTCTCTGTATGCAAGATGATAGGGCTGCTTCTTACTGTGAGAGTATGTAAAAATCGCAGTTGAAAATAATCATTTAATTTTTTTTAACCTCTTGGCTCTCTGATAATCTTATATAAACTAGAGTCATCTTAATATAAAAATTACAAGTGCCCAGAAAACATTTCACAGACCTGCAAGAGGTTATGAAGCCCTGAATTCATTGAAGACCCTGGCAGCTCCTTCACTGAGGTGTTTGCTGTGCTGGCCAGGGGATTAGGTGTGTGTGGGCCCCTTCCTAGCAGGGACAGGCCTGCAGGTGGTTGTCAGACACTTCAGGAATAAGTAATTTATTACTTATTGAGCCAGGAGATTGGGCTGGACTGGTGGCTGGAAGCACAAGGATGTTGGTAGCACCAGGGAAAAGCCTCCAGGCCTCCCTGCCTACAGGCAGCCATCTCCGGGGCTCTGATGTCTTCCCACAACCGCCTATTTTCAGGGCTGGAGAAAGAAGCCCTCCAGGTACCTGGAAAACCTGGAACACCATGAGTGCTGGGTGCAGGTGGCAATGAGCAGGTCCCTCCTTCTCATCCAGAGTGAGCACCAACCCCCAGCTGGCCACGCAGGCTGAGTGTGGAGCCGGGACGCTGCCTGCAAGCTCACTCCTCCTCTGGCTCTTTTTCCCATGCTGCTGGGATATTGGAGATTAGAGTATCACTTTCCTTTAGTAAGCAGTGGCTTACTACTCAGGTATCATGAATAAGTCTCTGGAGGGATTCAGGAGAAGCAGAGCACTGAATTACCCTTCCAGAGCACACTGTTGTGATAGGAAACTTGTACTATGGATGAATTCTGGAAATGGCTTTGTTTTTCTCCATGTTCAAGTCTTAGAATCAGATCATCTTTAAGTTAGAGGTGAGGGAGAGAGAGAGAAAGAGAAAGACACAGAGAGAGAAACAGACAGACAGAGAGAGAGACAGAGAGAGACAGAGAGAGAGAGACAGACAGACAGACAGATAGACAGAGAGAAGGAGCTCCCACAGCTTCGGATCTCTTCGTGTTTAGAGTGGTATTTCTAGTCTAGCTCATGTCTATGAAGACTTTTCCTTTAGCATGGTGCCAGGGTCTCACCCTGCCTTAACTCTGCCCGGACAGTGCACCGTATCAAGTCACGCAGGCAGGATGTGTCACTGATAAGTCGTAAGTGCAGATAACAAGTCTTCTGAGGAAGCCCTAGCGGCAAAGGTCCACTCCAAGCACCACTCAAGGACACAGTATGGCAGGTCTGCCTGAAGGTTGTCCACAGTGATCTATTTTCAGCCTCTCACCTTTGTTGATAACTGGTTGGTGTCAAGCGACCAGCCAAGGTCAGGGATGAGGGAAGATGACCCAGGGAGAGGACATGCAGCCTATGCTGGTGGGTGTTTTTAGCTGGGGTAAATCCGGCAGGCTACACTCTTGGACACAGGAGACTGACGAGATGTCTGTCTGAGCTGTCCCCTGCTTCCCTTCCCAACGCATCAGGCGGCTGCCTCTGTGGCTCAGGGAAACTGCTGAGGCACACGTGGCTCCCTGTCCTCTTTCAGCCTCCATTCCTCTTTCAGTTCCTCTTGTTTTGTTTCTCCATGAACCAACCCCCACTCTTGCTTCAGCGATTGCTAAGCACGGAGCTCTGGGCAGTGTTGTCTCCCGGCCAGCTCAGCCTCCCCTTCTGTGGCTTCCCGTTACTGAAGACTAATTATTACCCTGTGTGGCATTTAAATATACTCAATGTTTTCCGGCTATTTCTGGTCATTCTTTTTCCATAAGCACAGGATGTGTATGGGCACCATCCCTCGGCGACAAACAAGAAATGCCAGACGTAGTGAGTTAACGATTCAACTATTGAAAGATCAAAGAGGCAACAGATTAGACTCCAAATAATTTTATGAGCCTCTTCAGTAGTTTTCAAACTTTTTTGAAACCGACTGGCTAAAAGAAATATTTTGCCCTCACAACACAGTAAAAACATGAACCAGCACGTGGTGGTCCCGGTTGTTGCATCCGGGGGACAAGCACAGCTGCTCTGCTGTCTGAGTAGCCATCAGGACCGGAGCTCAGCCCCTGAAATAGATTAGAGGGACAAAGTCCAGTGAAAGGAGGACGTTCTATTTGTAAAGAGGAAAAGGATGAGAAAAGAGAAGACTGATAGCTACCCTAATAAGAAAGAACATGGGGTGGGGGGCTCCAGAAGATGGGGACCCGTGGGCCCTGACTTTAGCTGTTCCTACAGGGGGGGTGAATGATCCGGAACTTCCCATAACTGGATTGGCTTCCGGGCACCTCTGTCTAACGTCGTCTCTTCTGGTGGTGTGTGTGTTGCTTTTTTTTGTCTGTTTTGCTTGTCCTTACCTTTCAAGGCCTTATCTTTGGGGAGGTGGCCAGTTGGTAAGGGGGTGTGTTGTTTCTGGTCAGCTTAGAGTTAATAAGTAGGCATGTGGGCATCAGCTGTATTCTGTAGAGAGCCTAGAGTGAATCCCATAGCGATTCCAGTGTGAAGACACATGTATCTGAGCATCACTGCCCAGGTGGAGTACCTGTGGCCTTAAAGTTAGACACCCCCTGGCTTCCCTTGTGTTTTACTGGTGGTGGGGCAGCCTACTGTTTGTGCCCCTGAGTTTTTCTCTGTGCTCCATTTGTTAGCTCTTTTTTCTGGTCTCTTGGTGCAAATCCCAAAGCCATTTGGTGTCTTTACTTTAGCTTTCTTTGTTTTTGTTTCTTCCTTCTCCTGTCTTTGACTTGCTTCCCAGGAGAACCGCTCTAGGAAAGTCTGTTTTTTAACTCCTGCTAGTCAGGATTAGCTAGAAGACCCGAAGAGGCATCTGCTTAATTTCCTGGTTTACAGACTCCGTCCTTACGTGGTCATTCTGGAGGCTGAGCTGGGGAGATGGCACGTGTTAGAGACCAGCCTGGGCAACACGAGAAGAGTTTCAGTATAGTTTTCCTTTCATGAATACATAGGCCATGGAAATAGAAAAGTGTCTAATTTTTGTGATGAATAATGAACAGGTATATGAACGAACGACTCAGAACGTGAATGCTGTACAGTGTTGATTATGTTGCTATTGAGGATGTCTCGCAGGCATTTCTGTGAGGCTGTTTTCCTGGTGGCCATGAGGCTAGAAGAGGGCAAAAGTCATTCTGCAGGCACTTGGGAAAGGTGGAGAGAGGAGGGGAGGTGGGAGTGAGCAGGGTCAAGAGAGGATGAGAGGGCGGCACCTGCATGGACAGCAGGAAGTGGGCCAGTCCCCGAAGGCTGATCATAATCTTTGTTAGCTCTGGAATCACCTTTATCTCCCTCATTACGGAGATGCTTGCTAAACTCAAAGTGCATGTTTCCTATGATGGAAGTTCCCTTGTTTACTGGCCGGTTTTAAAAGGCCTGGTTAGTCATCCCGTCGTGCTCCTGTAGCTGATGTGCTTGCTTCTGGGCCATGATAAGGAAGGGGCAGGTGGTGCTGTGGCTGCCCAGGCCCCTTTTTTGGGGAGGAACTAGTAGACGGAGAAGTCTTTCCCGAGAGCTAATCAAACAAGACCTCTGAGCAGGAGGAGAGCAGGTGGCGTTGGCATGGCTGCGTTTGCCTCCCCCTGCTCATGTTTGATAAGGTTTTTGGGAACAGAACTGCATTCTTTCCAAAACCAGGCCACAGGTCTCTCCAAACTTTGGTTTCCCAATCTGGCTTCTGTAATGTCAAATAAACAAAGAACTTTGCCTCAATGAAACCATCAGCAAATATCTCTTTGCTCTCCTCGGGACTGTGGTGTCACACAACCTCTTCCTGATTGTCTCTTCCTACCAAAATAAGAGTTTAATGGTTCAGTGGCGCATATGGTGATGGTGTGGGAGCCAGGAGTTCTGGGGCAGAAGAGGAGGCTGGTCCTCTTGTGGGTCCCCGAGAAGTAATGGGATCGAGAGCACAGGATATCTGTACCTGAAATTGGCGAGGGCACCAGGTATGAAAGTTTCCTCTCCTTCTTGTACTTTCTAGGAAAAATGGAATAAGGTAATCTCATGAGAACAGACAGCAAATTCAGGTAAAGGCCTTGAAATAGCACCTGCATAGAATAGACAGTGGAGGAAATACTAACGATTACCAGAAGGTAGGAAAAGAAGTAATCATTCTCTCCATGAACTGAACGGAAACTTTGCTACACCGGGCCCTAACCGGGCGGACAGCTGAGCTCCCCAAGGCCACGCAGCTACCTGGTGACTGATTCAAGGCTGGAGACCTGGCTTCCTGGTCCTGGAGCAGTCTCCCTTATGCTCACCTCCTTCCCTGCAGGAAGAGGTCCAGGACCAAGAAGGGGCCTCAGAGCAGTGATGGCCCCTGGAATTGCAGTAGCCCTTCGATGGCTCCCTGACCGCTACAGATCCCGTCTTACGCTGCTTCGTTCATTCATTCTGTGAGGCTGTCTCCAGAAAATACAGAAAGCTCCAACAGTCTTTGTTTTTAAAGGATTCAATTGCAATAGGGGCAAAGATATGCAGAGGTATAAGTTATGCAGCAAGATAATCATTTGTATAAAGTGAAATGCATCAGAGAATTTAGGTGCCTCTCTATGAGCAATCAGAACCCATCTACAGAGCTTCTGACAAGGTTAGTAAATTTATGAATGACTAACATGAATGAAGCCAAAAAACAAACAGACAAAAAAGATGCAGAATACTTGGAGATTACAGCAAGAAGAAAAATATCTGCCTGGAAAGATCAGAAAGGTCTTCAGAGGAAGTGGTGTTGGATGGGGGCCTTGGGCATGATTAGGCAACAGAATTAGAATGTGACATTTCCCCTTCTCCATAAAGCATTACTTTCTAAATGTAAATATATGAATACCTGTATAAAGGTAATACATTTTTTATGAAATACAGAAAAAAGGTGAGTTAAAAGTGAGTCCAAAAGGCAAGTGTTCCGGGCATTTCCAGTCTTGTTCTTCCCAAGGCTGATGAAGAGGAGGAGGGCTTGTTTCCAGAACTACGATCACGCAGGAACGCCTCTCTTTCTCTGAGTCACAGAGGAAGGCCGTCCTCCTGTGGAAGCGCTGCAGTGATCGGATTTGGAGATTTCTGGCTCCTGCTGCCACCCGTGACTTGTGCGTCTGGGGAGACCCTGAAGACCCAGTGGGATAGCACTGCATGGGCTGGGAGAGGCCACTGCAGGGCTCTGGGCTGGGCAGGACAAAGGGATTAGAACTGGGGAGGAGGAGCTTGGGTGGGTAACCAAGCAGCTCTGCATCTTTTTCTTCTCACCAGGAATGAAGGGGTGCCCATTTGTTCACAGCCACATTATCTGTCTCCTGATTAGCGCTGTCCAGGTGGGGTGACGCATTATCTTACTGTGGCTATGATTTGAGTCCCCTGTGGCTAATGCATCTTTTCATGGGTTCTTCAGCCATGCGTGTATCTTCTTTGGAGAAAGGTCTGTTCTGATCCTTTATTCATTTTAAAACTGAGTGAGTTCTTAGTTTTTACTCCCTGTTATTTGTTTTCTTTTCATTACAAATGCATCCTGCATTCTTAACTCGAGGATGTTAGTCCAGAAACAACCTTTACCACCAAGAAACCAAGGTCACATATTTTTTTCTAAGAGTTTTACAGTTTTAGCTCTTCTACGCCAGTCTGTGGTTTATTTTTAGTCATTCTTTTTCGTATGGTTAAAAAAAAAGGAGTCTAATGTCACTTTTTAAACATCAGTTTTTAGAACAGTTTTACATTTAGAGAAAATTTGGGAACATGGTACCTAAAGTCCCTTACACTCCAATGCCCAGAGTCTCCTATTAGTATGACATATTTGTTAGAGTTAATGAACCAACAATGGTACATTATTATTAACTAAAGTCCATGATTTATTCAGATTTCCTAAGTTCTATAGAGAAAATTTTTTCTGTTTCTTCAGGAGAGACGTTGTGTCTCGGATTTTTCTGCCTGTGTAGTGTAGTTTGTCAGTGTTTTCTTGCTTTTGTAGACCTTCATGGTTTTGCGAGGAGGAGCCCCCGTCAGGTGGATTGTAAATGTGGTTGTAATGCATCCCTCCATTGTGACTCACAGATGTTTTCCTTGTGGTTAAACTAGGCCAGTGGTGGTGAACCAGTGGCACGTGGTCTGCAGTGAGCTCCTTCCTGGCACGCGTGCCAGGCTGTCCCAACACCACCCCAGCAGCCCCAGAGTCCGATGATCATGTACTTAGTAGCGGTGCTAGGTGAGGCTGTCAGGAGGGGTTTGGGCACTGGGGCTCTGAAGGCTCATCATCCCCAACCGAGGATTACAGGGCTTCAGACCAGAGCTGTGAATTTTTCATGGGAGACCCCAGAGAAGAAGAGACGTTTCCACCACAGCATACTGAGTGCAACACTGTCAACCTGACATTACCATCGATGCTGACTTGGATCACCTGAACAAGGTAAGCTTTGCTGGATTTCTCTGGTGTAAAGTTGTTCTTTGTTTCTCCTCCTTTTCATGTTCTTCTTCTCTCTTTCTCCTCTTTCACAGCACTAGGGATTGAACCCAGGGCCTTCACATTGGTCCACACCCCTAGTTTTACATTTTTTTTTTTTTATTTTGAAACAGGATCTTGATAAGTTCATAAATTTCCCAGGCTGGGCTCAAACTTGTAACCCTTCTGCCTCAGCTTCCTGGAGTGTTAGGGTTATAGGCGTGGGCGACCATGTCCGCATTCTGCTGAGCCCTTTAGAAAGAAGTCTCTATGTGCCTCCCACTTTTGAGGAGTAGGAAATCGTAGCACACCTCCTTGAGGATGGAGAATTTACATCAAGTATTTGGAAATTTCTGCATAGGAGAGTTATCTCTTCTCCTTATTTACTTATTTCTTAATTATTTATTTATACCAGTATATTTATACTTCAGATTATAACCTAGGATTACTCTTTTGTTGTTCAGTTTCTTCCAGTTTTGACTTTTGGGAATTGTTTTCACTTGTATCCTGTCTAGCCTCTCTCTGTCTGTCTATCTCTCTGTCTTCCCCCTATCTCTCTCTCTCTCTCTCTCTCTCTCTCTCTCTCTCTCTCTCTCTCTTCTGTCTCTCTTTGTCTCTCTGTCTCTCTCTCTCTCCCCCTGTCTCTCTCTCTCTTTCTCTCTTCAAGGCTGGAAACCTGGCTTCCTGGTCCTGGTCCTATGTCTCTCTCTCTCTCTCTCTCTCTCTCTCTCTCTCTCTCTCTCTCTCTCTCTCTCTCTCTGTGTAACTTTTTGTGCAGGCATAGAATCAGATGTTTCTCCAAGGGTTCCTGGGTTCCTATTATTGGACAATGGTATTAGTAATTGAGGTCTGGGCACAAGGTTAGTCTTTGCTACTTAGGTATCATTGTCCAGCCTTCTCTCCTGACAGAACAAGGAAGTATGTGTGTTTATGAACTTATATCCAGGCGCACGTATATGAATATTTCTATATGTAGCATCTTCATCTATATTAAGATAAATCTACTTATGAAGTATACTATGTCTTTAACCCTAATCCATCCCCATCTAAATCATCCTGCTATGTTTCCTCTGCTGATTTCTAACAATGAAAAACCTCGCTTCCACCATCCATGGAATTCTTTACTAAATTCTTCAGTTTCCCTGCACAGCAGGATCCGGACTGTTGAGTCCCACTCCCACTGGAACACTTTATCAGCTGGAACATCGGGCCTGCACACAGTTTCCTTAGCTTTTAGTTTTACAGATTCCATCATTTCCAAAGGGACTCAGGTCAGCACCGTACCCCTGCTCCCTGCGGTGAGGGTGGTTCACACCTATTTAATATTATATTGATTTGTAATAGTATTCATTCCATTCTGGGATTTCTCCGACCTCCTAAATAAGTTTTTAGTAGCTGCATACATGAAGATTTGCTCTTAATGCTGTAAAGTTCAATAGCTTTTGACAAGTACACGATATCATACACACAGGATTACGGTAGCGCATCCAACGGTTTCCTCTCTCCTAATGTCACCTTATGTCACTTACTCAAACCTTCCCCTTATGTCCCCAAATTTTTGGCAACCATTGATCTTTTAACCATCTCTACCACTGTGCTTTTCCAGAATGTGATGCAATTAAAATCATATTATGTAATTTCACATACATCCCCTTTTCAGATTGGCTCCTTTTATTTAGTAATAGCATTAAAGATCCCTATATGCCTTTTTGTGGCTTGATGGCTCGTCTCTTTTCTACCACTGAGTGGAATTCCTGGTGTGGATGTGTTGGGATTTGTTTATGCATTCATCTGTCGCTAGATGTTGTTGGTTTTAGTTATTGGCAATTATGAGTGTATCCACTGTAAGTATTGCTACGCAGGCTTTTATGTGGACAGAAATTTTCAAAAGCAACTTATTAAGAATCTAGGAGGGCAATTGGTAGAGTATGCAGTACAACAGCTCATAGTGGCTGTGCCATTGTCCATCCCTACTGGCAGGAGCATGATTTTCTTTTGCTTCATAACTGGTATTGTTAGTGTTTTGCACATTCTAATAAGGGTATAGTAGATTAACGGCTTACTTTGTAATTCTCAAATTCTGAGATTATGCTAATTTTGCTAGCTGTATGTCTAGTATGGTGGGGTGTCTGTGCAGATCTTTTGCCCATTTTAAAATTGGGTTATTTTCTTATAGTTGAGTTTAAAGAGTTCTGTGTTTATTTTGGACACATGCTTTATTAGATATGTTTTGCAAGTATTTTTCTCCCAGTCTCTGTGTTATCTTTTCATTATCTTAGTGGTGTCTTTAACAGAGGAAAACTATAATTTTAATAAATCCCAATTTATGTTGTCTCCAGTGTAAAAAATAAATAATAGTAATTAAAAACTGAAAGAATAGTAAGATCCAAAATGTACAATAGGTATTGTAGTAATCAAAGGGAAAGAAAGTGCTCAAAAGGAAACAACTTGTAGATGTGCATATATAACTGTGTGTGTGTGTAAGTGTGCAGACAGATAACCATACCCCTAATTCTCTGTTAGTTCATCCAAAAGAATAGTTTGTGCAGTCGTTGCTTGATTGTGTGCTCATTTCTTATGCTTTGATTTTGTAACCTGAACAACTACTTCTAAGATAACGATGTAATATATTAACTGGTGTTGATTTGTTCCTGTTTTTTTTTTGAAATTCTGTATTTCTATAATTTTTTGTTTTCCTTTTTAAAAATAAAAAAAATTAAAATAAATTCCAGTTTATTATTTTCTTCTCTGTTTTCCTTTAAAAATTTTATATATTTGGAAATTTGGATTTTTGCTTATGACCCTCTTGGATGATTTAAACTGTTTAAGGTCTCTGTCCAGTTTTATATTTTTACACACAAACTGTTGGTTGAGCTAGCACAGTTTGTTGAAGTTAACAATCCTTTTTCTATTGGCTCCTTTTTGTTCCTTTGTCAGAGACCAGTCGACTCTGTGTGTGGGTTATTTCTGGGATCTCCATGCCGTCTTCATGATCTTTCTTCTATTTTTTCTCCAGTACTACACTGTTTTAGTTATTGTCTCATCAAAGTAAGGCTCAAAGTTAGATAATTCCAATCTTCTGACTTTATTCTTCATTATTGATGAGCTATCCTAGGTCTTTTGTCTTTCCATAAAAATATTAGTATTAACTTATTGATATGTATACAATTATTTCTTGAGATATTCATTAGGATTATCTTGAATATATATATTGAATTGTATAAAACTGATGTACTAACAATGTTGAGTATTCTAGCCCATGATCATGGAATATTTCTCTCTGCATTTAGAGTTGTGATTTTATTTATCAGAATTTTGCAGACTTTTGTGCATAAATCCAGAAACATATTTTGGTAGATTTATTTCATTTTTGGGTATTATTATAAGTAAGATTTTAAACATTTCGAATTCCAGCTGTTGTTGATCTACAGATAGGCAATAGACTTGTGTGTATTAATTAGTCATGTACCCTTTAGATTTGCTATAATCATTTATAAGTTTCAGGAATTTTTTTGGTATCATGGATCAAATCCAGAAGCACTCTACTACTGAGCTACATCCCCAGCCTGTTTTACTTAATTTACTGTATTCTGAAGCAGAGTCTTGCTAAGATGCCTGCATGAGAGTTGAGCTTACAATCCTCCTGCCTCAGCCTTCCTGAATGCTGGAGTTAGGGGTATGTGCCATTGCTCCTGCCTGAGATTATTTAATTTTTGGTGATTATTTGAGATAACCCTACCCTGGCAGTCATGTCATCTGTGCACGAAGATGGTTTTTCCTTCCCAACAGGTGCGTGTTTTTATTTCCTTTTCTTGTCCAATCGCACTGGCTAGGACCTGTAGCCCAGTGCTGAACAGGAGGAGGAAGAGAGGAATGTCGTTGTTCATAATATACAGCAGAAATACCTGGTCTTTCAATGTTATGTTTGGTTCCTTTTTATCTCCTAACAAGTTGAAGAAATTCATCCGTATTCTTAGTTTGTTGGATTTTGCCAAATACCTTCCTACATTAATTGTTGTTGTTGTGATTTTTCTTTTTTGGCTAGTTAATGTGGCAGGTTATATTGATTTAAATGTCGCGTCAGGTTTGCACAATTGAAATAATTCTTCATTACTCATGTCTTGTAATTCTTTTATATGTTGTTAGCTTTTATCTCCTAACATTTCTAAAGGCATTTTATTCCTAATATTTCTTAAAGGACTTACATTCCTGAGAGATACTGGTCTGTTATTTTCCCTCTTGAATGTCTTTAGAGGATGGCACCAGTTGGGTGGTGGCTAAGTGTTCAGGAGGGGAGCGTCCTGTGATCCTGTGGCTGAATTTGACTCTTAGAGAGCCTGAGCCTTGGTCTTCACAAGTGCGTATTACTGCACCTTCTGAATTTAGGGCAGACTGATAGGCAGAGGGCCTGGAGCAGGACAGTGGTTCCCCCCGGTGAAGCCTTTACCCTAAAAAGCAGGTCTTGCTAGTGGAGAATGCTCAAGACTAATTGCACAAAAGAAACTTTTTTCCTGCTGTACATGAGCTGGGTCCTGGCTCCTCACTGTGAGGACACAGCGGGCCTGCTGAACGTCAAGCTCCTGAACCTGCGAGCTTGCAGGTCTTTCTCTACATGGAGGCTCTGGGCAGTTTTCTTGTCTCCTGGGAGACCACTGCGCTTTCGGGGTTTGCCAAGGCTGCCTTGTAAGGGTTCCTGTCAGTCCGTGGCTCCATCTCATGGCTTCTGCCCTGGCAAGCAGGTCTCAGTGACTCTCTGGATTCAACTATGTCTTTAAATTTTGGGTTTGTTGCTAACCCTACAACCTCAACTCCCTGAAGCGTCCGTAAACAGCCATTGGTTTTTACGTTTGTACCCCTGAGCCTCACCCCATCACTGTAAGACTGTAAGTTTCAAGCTTTTGTATGTAGGGCCTAAAGTTCTGACTTCTCCCTTTGCATTTGGAAATGTAATTACGGGGCAGCAATCTGCTGAGACCACTGTTCTTTCCCTGCTCAGTCTTCTGACACTCTTGGCAAAGGGCATTTGACATAACTGTGGGGGCTTGTGTGGGGCTGTCAATTCCACCCCACTGATCTGTATTCTCCTTTTGCATCACTCCTGCAGTCTCTTGGCTGCGTGGTTGTGCAGAAAGTTTTGAAAAGTGTGAGGCCCCAGCTCCGACGTTGTTTTCGGCTGTTCTGGCTCAGTTGTGTTTCCGTGTGAAGTTTTGGACAGCTTGTCAGTTCCTCCAGAGAAGCCTGATGGGATTTTGAAATGGTTCCCATCGAATCTGTAGCTCCATTTAAGAGTTCTGGCTGTATTAACAATATAAATCTTCGGACTCCTACTACTCAGGCCTTCCTCGGTTTCTTCCCATGGCGTCTTTGCACTTTGAGAGGCAAATATTATGCTTCTTTTTAACTAAATATTTTATCCCTTTGAAGTTATTATAAATCAAATTGTTTTATTTTTGGATTGTTCACTGGTAATCTATAGGAGTAAATGAATTTTTATATATTGATCAGATATCCGGTAATCTTGCAGGACTTATTTATCAGTTTCATCTTCTTTTCAGATTTCTTATTTTGTGGTGCTTCTTTTAGAGTAAGCAGTTAAGGCTTTCGATGACGCAGGCAAATAGGATTTTCAAATGCCCATGAGAGTTAGCAATCTGATCTATCGTTATATGGAGAGAGCGCACTCACGTTGGTGATGGCAAGGTAAGCTGTGGCTGTGGGAGTGCCCGCGTGGAGTGGGGCGCTTGGCGACGCTCGTGGTGAGCAGAAGGAGACAACGAGCCAGGAAAGAAGGATCTGACCTCAGCGAAGAAAAGAAAAGAGAGAGCTGAGAAGGGGAGTGTCAGAGTGAGAAGGGAGCGGGTTGCCTCCGGGACTGGTTTTGAGACACTTTTAGGTTTATCTTGTCTTGGAATTTGGGAAACGGGCTAGAGTTATAGGAGTCAAAGAGCAAGTGGACTAGAGCACCTCGTAAAACTGGTGACAAAATGCCCTGAGCTGACGCCAGGTCTTGATTCCAGCTTCTCCAGGACAGAGTGAAGACTTCAGAGGAGTGTAGCTTGGAATAATTATCTGGAAAACAATTTGGACTATGGGAATTAAAGTAAGTCTTCTTACAGAAACTTTTTAAATGAAAATTCTCCAAGGTTTTTTTTTTACAGTGAATTTTATTTCAAAGTCTTTTAATAAAATTTTGTATATTACAGAGACAACTAAAATCAGAGCAAAATAAAATCAGGTGTATAAAAACCTGTGCTGTGTTCTCACCTTCTGGATAGTTTGCCAGGAAAGCCTAAGGGAAATTCTAATTAAGCACTATGTGAACTATCCTGTGTCCAAAACTCAACTGATTTTGTGCCGTCACCCCTACTCTCTTCCTGTCTCTGACATGCATCAGAGGGAAAAGAGTTTCTTTCCAAGCCTCTAAAGCGGGTAGGACACTTGCTGTGTACTTGCTAGGAGGATCTCATTCCTGCCATGAGATTTAAAAAGAAACCTTGAAATACATTCTCTGATTTAAAAATAAGACATCAGCTTTCACATGAAAACCCGTAATATGTTCCTTAACATCTATTCCAATCAAAAGTAAATCTTGGGCAAGTGTATTTTCTTTTTCCAGAATTGCGCTTTTGCACATAGGGTGCTGCGAATTCATATGCTGAAGTCCAAACCCCTGACGTGGTGTGTTTGGAGCTGGTGCCTTTGAGAGCTAATTAGAGCTGGATGAAGTCGTCAAGGTGGGGCCCCCCACTACCGTTTTCTTTCGTGTTTCTTTTTGATCCTCAATGATTTCAATTTTTTGTATTTATATCTTAGATCAATCTGGAGTTTATTTTGGCAGAGGGAGTAAGGAAAAATCCAACCTTAATATCGTTTGCTAACGCCATTTATTGAAGAATCCATTTTCTGTATTGATTTGAAGCGCCGCTTTGTTGTATGCAAATTTCCCACACATACGGTCTCCCTCTCTACTTTCTACCTCATTGATCTGCACGTGTACCAGCATGCTAATTTCAAATGATTTCACGTTCTCAAAGCAGTGTGCTGAGACGCAGCGGGTCTGGAGTCAGTGTCTGAAGCAAAATGTGCACCCCGTCATTCCTTTGTGTGTGATGAGATGTCTCCGGTATTGGCTGCTGGCTTCCATCCCTAAATTGAAGTCACAGAAGAGAGGGGTGGCAGGGGCTTAGAACTGTGCTTAGCAAGTAACAAAATTTCCATAAGGATTCTTGGTCAAACGGATGGGCTTTGGTAGCTGGGAAAAGGAAGCATTGTGAGCAACATTTTGGAGAGAACTTGAGGGAAGAGATTCTGGTGTTACCGTCTGTGTTGCCGTAGGGGTGATGAATACAGAGATGAGACTGAAGGAACTGAGACTTACTGGAACTAGAATTGCTTAAGAGTGTCCCTAATACTCTGTAAGTTTGGGGTGAAGTCACTTTTTGGGTAGGGGATACAAAGTACTCAGGGTAGGCTCTCAAAATATACGACAGTCCAATTGCAGCGGAAGGAAGGAACACACACTGCTGATGGAGCTGCAGCTCCAGGTTCCTCCTGCCCAGTCAGTGCCTTCTAGGGAGGAATTTGAAACTGATAAGAACAGATACTACACTTGATCTCATCCTAGAGGCTGAGAACGGCTTTTGCAGCATCAGCCGAGGCAGTCCAATAGCATCGTGGAGCTCAAAGCTGCCTGGGAAAGGGAACCCACCCTGAGACAGGTGAAATTCCAGGGCTACCCAGCTGGCAACGGGCTGAACCACGGTGAACACTGTGTGTCTGAGTAGAAGGAAGTGGCTGTGTTCCTACACTTTTACTCCATTAGGGAGAAGTTTTCAACGGTGATAATAACAATTTCCCTGTTACCTTTCAATATAGCATCTTTGGAACCTAAAGGAGTTCTTGTTTTTTTCTTTTTTAAAAATAATGATTAAAGTAATAGTTACAATAAAAAATCTAAAATGTTTCCTCAACGGTACAGAATACTAAAAGAAAAGGAGATGCTTAGCTGTTTGACATTATTTTGGATAAATGTGCTTTTCTGACAAGTGAGTGGAAGGTCTGTAACACACTTAGAGACCTTTTGGGGTGTGTGTGTGTGTGTGTGTGTGTGTGTGTGGTAGGCTACATTTCTATAATGAAAAATGTCCTTAAAACATAGTTAGCTAGTTTACATTGTATAGTGTGTTAAGTATTCTTTAGTCAACATTATTTGTTTAAAAGCATGAGAAATTAACTTAGATTCATTTAACTTAAAAAAGAGATTTGTTTTGGAAAAGCGGATGCTATTAAATGGATTCCAGGCATGACCTGAAGAATTGGTTAAAAGAAACTTTGGATCCTTAAAGACAAGAGTCCACAAACTTCCTGCTTCGAGTTCTACCGAAAGCTAACATTACCTTCAAATTCCAGTGTTCGTGTTCTTCAGATTTAAGAAAAGGTCAGGTGTCTGGGCCTGGACTCCGTGAGAGGAAAGATTCACGTGTTACACAACCATTCCTACCCTTGACTTGCAGGGTTAATGTGACCGTGGCTGCCAGAGCGATCCGAGGATCCAGCAGGCTTGGTTTTCGGAGGATGAAACGTGAGCACGGGTGAGCGGAGCAATCAGGAGCAGAGCCAGGGATACGGCTACAAATGAAGGTGCACCAGCAGGGCTTCTGCTTCTCTTTCCCTCCACGTCCCTTGATGTCACCTTTGTCTTTGCTCTGAAATGTGGCATGTTAGAAGAGACTTCTAAGTGACCATGACCTCCTCAGCCTGACTGTGGCTAAACGCAACTTTTGACCTCTCCCCCAGAACAGTTAGGACAGAGTTATTCTCTTTATTGAACTCAAAGTTTCCTGTGGTTACTCCATGTCCGTAGGTGAGTCCTCACCTGAGTGGTGCATCCCAGATAACTGTTTTCTGTACAGTTCTTTTTCAGACATCACCGTTATTCACTTTACCATTTCAAAGGAAATTTTTCTATAACAAGGACACCCTCAACAGAGGCCAACAAGCATGGTGTTTTCTGCATGGTTCAAGGTCATCATTAAACTTTTCCCTTTCTTCCAAAACCATTTGTTAAGCAGACATTAAAGAAAGTTAATGTCTTTGATAGACAATGCAATTTCTGTATGAAACAGGAGTGGTGTCATTTTCATTTACTTTTAAATAATTAGAAATTTCAATTTTGATATTACCTTTATCAAAGAATTAGAAGTGACCTAAAATCTATGTACCTGGGGTCAATTTTTTTAATGAACATTATAGCATATGTGACTTGTTCAAGGTCATAAGAAGGTAGCTTCTGAAGCCAGGGATCTGGAATAGTTCTTATGATGCCACCATTCATGACTCATTCCATTCAGGGGTGTGTTCTAGTGCAATTGGAGGTTCTTGGAACCTCCAATTTCAGTGTAAAGTTAAGGAATTGATTAAACACTATGTAATCTCTGACTTCCCACCTATGTTAAAAATTTCAAGGCTTCACATTACCTTCCAAACTTCATCTTTCCTAACTCCTTTATACAAATCTATCTTCATTTTTCATATGTTTATACCATTTTTGCTATTAGAGGTACATTTCAATATCATTTCAGAAAGTATAAAGTTCAATATTAAAGTACTAAGGAGCAAAAGACCCTTTTTCCTTTCCTTAAATGGAATTAATTCAGTGTTTCTTGTTCCATAAATTGTCACTGATAATTATTAATTTGATGAAATCATTTATGTACAAATACTACAAGACAATGAGAAATTACATAGCAATAGATAAAATCTTAGAATAAAATACTCTGAACTAAGTATGCACAAATGAATAAGATATAAGAATGTAATAGAAAAGCACTTATGCCCGAGGAGTTAATTATGCATGCCCCTAGAGGTAAAATTATATTAGAATTACTGCCTCTCCATTCTGTTTGAGTTCAAAGACCTTCATATTATGCTTTGCTTTTACATTGGGAATTTTTCCCTAAATGTAACTCTTTTATAATCTTAATTACTTTATCATTTCTTTCAAGAAAAGATTTGAAATACTAGGATGTAACTTATGATTATGAAGCTTTACAAAATTCCAAACTGAGATTCTTGATCAGAATCATCTTAGCTTGTGCTTTTCTGTGTAGTTTGTTTTTGTAGTATCACCATTTTTATTTGCTTTGCCATTTTAAAGGAAATTTTTCTAGAATGAGGAAATCCTCATCAGCAGACAACAAACACAATTATTTTCTTCATGATTTAAGATCATCATGAAACATTCTTCCTTTCTTTCAAAATCATTTATTTAGTAGATACTGAAGGAAGTCAGCTACACAGACTCTGTGTAGAACAGGAGTGGCGTCGCTTACATTTACTTCCAGTAATTGGAATTTCAATTTTGACATTATCAATGAATTATTTAGGAGGGACTGAAGTCTAGACACCTGGGTTCAGTTTTAAATTTTGAATTTTAATATACAGTAGTCAGTAATGTGTGTGTATTTGTAACTTTCTTTATGGCTTTCTGTAGGACTCATATTTTTGCAAATGTTACCTGGATGAATGTGCAGACTGTGTATTCTTCGTTGGAGATAAGTTCTATTAGCATAAAACCGTTAACTGTGGTATTTAAACACCAGCCTCTGAGTGCAGGGATTCCAGGTGTGGCCCCATTCCTGGGTTTTGTGGGTTTACTTTGCTACCCACTCGCTTGTTTGAGCAGAGGGAGGGCAGGAGCGGGAAAACGCTGTCTAATCATGACCATGAAAAGCTGTGGCCCTGGATGATGGGTTGGGTTGTGCAGCAGGCAAGGTCCTGAGACCATGAGGGGAAAGCAGAAACCGCTCGGAATCTGGGGTGCTCTCCCTGGGGACGTGTCCATCAGCCATGCGGGAAGAGAGGTGGGCAGGGCAGAGGACCAGAACGCCTGCCCTGTTTTCACATTGTGCCTACAGCGAGGGTCCACCGCTCTGCGTCCAGTGCCTCAGTGCGGGCAGCACAAGGAGACCCTGGTGGCCAGCCGGTGCCCAGCCTGGACTCCTGTTGCTCTGATCTGATGTTCTGGAGCCCACACAGCTGGTCAAGTTCCAGGAGCGGCTCCTGAGTGCACAGGGGGTGTCACCTGAATCGTGGCATGCAGAGCAGCTTCCTGTAACCGAAACAATCACCCGAGCTAGGTTGTGCAGGAAATAAGCTTCTTGGGTGTTTTCCTGGCGCCACAGGAGCACAGTGCTCTGGGCTGCAAGCTGTTAGGCTTTCTGAGCTGAAGAAGTTTACTTGGCAAGAAGGCTGACATTGTTTTAATATGAAATGAGTGTCCCATTTATTTAAAAATCTGACATTTTCAAGGATATCACATAGATCTTTTGCAGTTGCTCAGTGTAATAAATTACAATTGTTACAGTAATCAAGTCCTCAGAGTACAATTATATTTAATAAATAAGACCATGACATTGTGTTGAATGTCATGCTGGATTTTACCGTTTATAATTTTAAGTATACTCAAATATTTTATTGGCTTGTAGTTTTCTTTTTTTTTAGCCTATCTTGTCCACTTTTGACATTGAGCTTATGCTAAACATAAACAGAAATTTCTCGGCTTTCTCTTTGGTCTTAAATAATTTATATATCATGAATTATGGGAGCTCTGTTTTCTGAAGGATGTAGTTTTTGTTCTCATTCTAATTTGTTAAATTGTTATTGACACAGTCATGTTCTCCATATTTTGTTGACTCACTCTTGGTAACATCTACTTTCTCATTAACTTATTTTTTTATTTAGGTTGTCAGATTTGTACTATGTCCCTTCTTTTTTATTGAGAATATTTTTCAGCCTGTAATCCCAGTACTTGGGAGGCTGAGGCAGGAGAATTGCTGTGAATTCGAGGCCAGCCTGGGCTACAAAGTAAGTTCAAGGCCAGCCTGAACTGCGTATTGAGACCTTGCCTCAAAAAGACAAAACAAACAAAATAAACAAAACGTAAAAGAATATTTTTCATAAACAGTCACATCTCCTTTTAAATATCTGTTATGCAGTCTGCTTTCTGCTTGAAGCTTCAGAGGGTTTATTTATGAACAGAGAATGTAAGTTTTAACAAATTTCTTGTTGTCTGGATTATTTTTACTTCTATTTTTATTCTTTTTTAATTTTATTTTTTCTAATACTATATCTTGGTGCTGTTCATTTAGTTTGTCTTACCAGAAGACATTTGAGATTGGAAACTTTCTTATATTCCACAAGTATTGATTTGTAGTATTATTTCAGTATTTTATTTTATTTTTTTGGTACCAGGAATCAACTTTAGGACCTTGTGCTTTCCAGGCAGGTTCTTACCCTGCTGAAGCTATATCCTTGGCCCTAAGTATTTTAAAATTATTCTTTTAATTCATAAAATTCATCATGAAAAATCTATCAGAAATGACATGCTGTGTACCTATTGCTAATTGCTACCAAATAGAATATCTTTACATCTCTCCATAGCTTTTGGATTATGTCGGGCTGGACCTTACTTCTCTTAAGCCATACTGTGTAAATGAACAAGGAACCCAGCCAACACCACGCTCCTCTCCAGCCATCTTGGTATTATTGAGATCCAACTATAATCATACACATCACTTTTACAATGATAGTTCTACTATAAAAAAGGAGTCTAATATTTTTAGGTAATCTTTTTCTTTTGCATTATTAATTAGAAAATACACATATCAAATTATATCTGCATTCAAACATTTGAATTTTAAAATTATCAAAATACGAGGGCCTTAAGCTATAAAGACTGGTATACTTTATTTTAAATATATAATTTGCCTTATGTGTAAAATGAAGTGTCTTATTAATTTGATATGATGACTTATGTTTTATTATCTTTATCTGTAGAATTAGTCCAGCTAGAAATTTAACATGATTATGAAAAACCTTAACTATTTGATTTACGTATTTTACTTTATTTTGGTTCCGGTGTTGAAATCAAATTATACTCCTAAATTATATCCTCTGTGTAGCTATAGGGGTTTAAAGATACAGTTTTGTCTGTGCTTCTCTAGTCACTTCATATATTAGAACTAAAGTTAATAAGCTTCCTCTCTACATCAAAACAGTTTGTGATATGGATTCCAGCAACAAAAGTTATATGCTTTGTGATATTTGGCAAATATCTTAACTTTTCTGTGCTTTCTTCAAATATAAAGTAGGTGTAATCATAATAACTATCTCCTGGGATTTGCCCAAGAGTTAAGAGGTCATGATATAAAGAACTTAGACTGCTCCTGGGCCAAGTGTTAGCGCTGAGTGTGTTAGCTATTTTTATTACAATCTAACAGGGATCATAGATGACTCTATTGAAAGCTTTATTGCTAATTTTCTTCTCATTTTTATAGTGCCCTTTCTGTGTGAGGAACATTATATATAAATTATCATTATCTTCTTCCAAATCCACTGATGTACGGTTATTACTTTCCACATGAAAATCTAAGAAAATCATTGTTCAAATTCACAAGGTAGCGATGGAATTGGTATTTGAATCATCATCTGTCTGTCACTAATATGTTTTCCCCCCCGTATCATTCAGCCATGACTTCATGAAATCCACTCTCTTTCTGCCATTGTTTGTCTTTTTATGCTGAGAGCGTTGCTCTTCACAGCAGCCACGCAGCACCATTGTCCTGGGACTGGACTGCAGGTAAGTGATGACGTTAATGAGCTACCGCAACTCATCTCTGCGTATTCCATGTATTTCACCAAAAAATACTCAGCCTTTGCATTTTTCTCTAGGTCTCCTCCTTTCAAACAGGTATGTAAGAGTTTCTGTCTCTAGCTTTTTGAGCAGCTGCTTGGCTTCGGTGCTATGTAGAAGCAAATGCTTACTAATGAATATTGCATCGGATCCAGGAGTCCCAGTTAGAATAGGAGGAAAATGACTGTTCTTCAATATGGGGAAAAGAAGAGTGCTCCCTTGACCTTAGTGTTACTGGGGTTTTGTTTGTGCTGATCAGAGACTCCTGCTCAGACTGAGTCTGCAGACACGTGCTCAAGCCTTCTTCATCACTTCTCTGGGATGCCCACCAGCCACCTCTCCCACCGAGCATTTCAAGTATCTGTTTGGTCTCTTCAACAGTGACTTCTGTAGTGCTCCTTTGACATCTGCATTCCCCATGTGCTCTCCTGAGCGGGAACATGTAATGGATGTTATCTTGGTGCTATGAGAAAAGCTGGATTCTGTGTTCTTAACCCCCAAATTGCATAAAGTCTACATTTGTTTTTTATCATTTTGATTATAAAGTGTAGCAGTCAGTGGTATTAAGTGCATTCACATCATTTTGCTTCCATCACTGCTGTTTACTTACAGGTTTTTCATCAATCTAAATTGAAACTCTGCCCACTAAATCCCACTGTCCGTCTCCCAAACCCTGAGAGCCACCATTCTGTGTAAGTACCGTGCACTAAACGATCGTGCCCCTGGAGCTCCAGAACCTCCATTCTGATCTCCCTGAGTCTGACTACTCTAGATATGTCAAATAAATGGGATCACACTGGTTTTGTCTCTTTGCATCTGATTGATTTCATTCAGCACAATATCCTCACGGTTCTCCCATATTATAGCATGTGTTAGAATTTCATTCCTTTTCATGTATTTATTTTTATCAGTGGACATTGAGTTTTTAAACCCATTTATGCTGTCAACAATGGTGCTGTAAACAATGGTGCTACACACTTCAGTTGATTACATTCTCCCTATTCTTTGGGTATACATGCAGAAGTAGAATTGCTCAAAGTTTTGGCAATTCCATGCTTAAATTTTTTGAGGAATTGCTCTGCAGCTCTCCATAACTAATGCAGCATTTTGTATTCCTATCAACACAAGGATCTTAATTTCTCTTTACCATCCCAATACTTTATAATAATTGGCCTAAATATTACGTCTGTATTACAAAAAGATAAATTGGAGTTTATAAATGTTATATCGTTTGTCCAAGGAAATATTGGAAAATGTGGAAAAGTGGAAAAGTCAAAACCATAACTCTATCCCTGATTCTTTTTTTTTTAAAGCAGAATTAAATCATCTGTTGTTTTTGAAAGTCTTCTCCACATACTCAGTGTACTCTGAGTCACAGGAAAAGGCAACACACATCAAGAGAGGGCTTCAGAAATGGAGACCTTTCTCTTCTCCTGTGTTTCTCAAGGTCAGAGAAAATAAATGGTTAAATAAGTAGTAGAAAATTTAAGTTAAGTATTAACTGAGAGATTGATATTAGGGAGATACTGGAAAGGGTTATTGAAGGTTACTGTGAAAGAGTTCAAGTCCTAAAAATGCTATGGATTGGATTTTATCCTACTAGATGTTGGAAGGCACAAGGAATCATTCACTGAGTCCTGGTTATTAAAAGCAAGTAGTAAACTGGATGATGTTATATCACTTTTTCAAATTCTCTTATTCTACATACAGGTGGCTGGATCTAGTGTGTGTGATGCTGGGATTGATTCATTGTGCAGTGATAGGCTCAAGGGCACTAGAATTAAGGGTGTTAGTGCTACCCACCCTGAGAAGCCTGAGTAAAATACAGGGGCTAGAAAGAGCTGTGGTTGCCCCTAACTTCCTTTGCTACTTTCTCCCTGCCATAAACTTTCTTTTTTCTGTGATGTGATGCCTGTCTGACATGCCACTATCCCTTGGAGCCAGCCAATTATTGACTGAAACTTCTACAACTGTGAGCTAAATAAAGTTTTCTTGCTTTAACTTTGGGTGTCTGGTACTTGGCCTCATTAAAGAGAAAGTAGCTAAGATAATTTCTTAAATGATATGTAGAATAAAAAGCCTTAATTTCAACATTGTCCTGGATATATCTGTAAAGTACTTGGAATGAATATTAATTAATTTTAATTATCATATTAAATGTAGTAAATTAGGAACTTCTTTTATAACATGAAGAAAGTAAAATGCACAAATAGTAAACATATAAAGGAAGAATAGCTGGTCTCACAGGGTCACTAAGGAGTATGCGATTATAGTTCTGCAGGATTGAGGAAGAACTGCTCAGTATGAGCCATGTACATAGACACTTAAGCTCCCTTTAGATTGCTCCAAGTTGGACATTTCATTAGTGGCAGAATCTAGTTGAATACCCAGATAATTTAACTCTGCGCTGGTTGTCTTTCTTCTAGATTTGCTACATTAAAACAGCCACCGTTTCTCCACTTCATGCTCCTGCAATGACACTCATAAACATTAAATCCCATGATTCCATGTCCAGTTTGCCTTGTAATCTGTGGCAAGTTGTGAACTCCGAAGGCCTTGGGTGGCTCCACCCTTCCAGCATTGCCAGCGGTTGTAGCTCCTATGGCTGCTCTCCTGGGATGGCTCTGCTTCCTCCTTGCAGCTTTCCTCAGATGATTCATGCTTCTGGCTTCTCCAAAGTTCTGTGGCGTCCACTGTACCTTTGGCTTTGCATTCACAGTTTCACACATTGCCCTCTCAGAGGCACCCTGCCTGGTCTCCCATGCCCTCTTCTGAAATCTGGGTGGAAGCCTTCCTGACCCCATGACTCTTGCATTCTGCATTCATCTAAAACCATGTGGCTGGTGCCAAAGTACGCTGTGAGCTGGAGCAGTAGCCAGGATTCCTTCTCTCTGGGCTGCAGTGGTTGAGCAACTATGACTAAATCCAGGAACAACTACCCTAGGCTACTGACATTCTGGAACATGGTGCTCTGGGAGTCTTTTCTCAGGGCAAAGTCACCCAGTGGTGACTTTGAAGCTTCAAAGGCTGGAATTCTGTTGATTCTCGTGATGTCCTCAGGCTACCTTTTCTGTTTTCTGAAATATTTGGTGTTTTTTGCTAACATTTTCAGCAACGAATTTCTCCTCTGTTCCATCTTTATAGGCCAAAACTTTACTGGAGCTTCCTTGCTGGCCAAACTCACAACATTTTAAATCATTCTTCTGGGCTCTTTGCTCTTGATTCTCAACATAAATCTGTCTAAAGGTTTCCAATAGGAGACATGCCACTGCCTCACATTAGTCTGCCTTGAAATTTTTTCTGCCAGATTAACTAGTTGCCGAACTTAATATCAATCTCAAGCAAAATCCCTGAACATGACCAAAATGCAGACAAACTTTCTGTCAAGGCATAATACACATTGTTTGGAGTCCAACAACCAATATAGTCCTTTTTTTTCTTTTAAAGAGAAAAAATAACAGTAAAACAGGATTTCAAAACAAGCTAGTAGGAGAATAACAATAATTAATGCATTAAATATTGTTATCTTCATGGTAGTTATTCAGAGTACAAGACATAGGGATGAAATATTCAATATTAGCACAAACCTTTCTTTTCAATGAAGTAAGAGAAAATATCTGTACAACCAATATCTTACTATTTTGTGTATAAATACTTTTTCTTTTTCTCTTCCTTTCTCCTTCACCCCACCACAGTGTATCTTTTCTTTATAAGAGTTTCTCCTTAATTCACAATATCTATTGTACATTTTGGATCTTATTTACTCATTCTGTTTCTCACACTAGTGAGACAATACAATGTATACATGTGTGTTTGCTTTATTTCACATATAATTATAGTCTCAAGTTGTATTCATTTACCTATAAGAGTCTCAAGTTTATCCTTCTTTATGGCTGAGTAGTATTCCATTATATAAGAAAAACCCATATCTTTTTTATCCATTTCTCAGTTGATGAGGATTTGTGTTGTTTCCAAGATTTAGCTATTACAAATTATGCTGCTATATACATGAATGCATATATATTTCTGTGGTATAACATTTTAAATTCTTCTAGGAAGGTACCCCAGAAGGGGAACAATTGGGTTGAATGGGACCTCTAATCCTAGTTTTTTGAAGAATCTTCACATTGATTTCCACAGTGGTTGCACCAGTCTACACTCCCACCAACAATGGAGAAGAGTTCCTTTTCCCCCACAGCCCCACCAGCATTTGATATTGGTTGATTTATTGATGATAGCCCTTTCTTTTGGAGTGAGATGGAATTGCAGCATTGTTTTAATTTACATCACTTGAATTACCAATGATGTCAAACAATTTTTATGTGTTTATTTGATATTTGTTTTTATTCATTTGGGAAGTGTTGTCTCAGATGCCCATTTTTGGACTGGATCTTTCAATTTGGGGAGCTTAATTTTTTTTGATTCTTTATATGTTCTAGATATAAGTCCTTTGTCTAAGGGTTACCTGGCTATAGTTTTTTCCCATTCTGTGGGTTATATTTTTACTCTGTTGGGGATTTGTTTTGTTGTGCAGAAGCTTTTTAATAAGGTGAGATCCAGTTTGTTGATTCTCTGTAGTATTTCCCATAAGGTCCAGGTTATGTTCATGAAGTCTCTGCCTATACCTATGTCTTCAAGATTTCTACCTATTCTGTCTTTCAGTAAATTTAGTGTTTGTGTTTTAATATATTTAATCCATTTTGACTTTAGTTTAATGCATGGGGATAGACATGGGTCTAGTTTTAGTTTTCATCATGTAGAAAGCCAGGTTTTCCAGCACCACTTATTAAAGAGGCTATCTTTCTCCTAGTGAACACGTTTGACTCCTTTGTCAAAGATAAGATGGCTGAGTGAGTTTGGGATTGCATTTACATCTTCTTTCTCTTCCACTAATCCTCAGGCCACCCCCCACCAGTACTATGCTGATTTTATCACAGTAGCTTTGTAAATATAATTTCAGGTCTGGAATTGTGATGCCTCCTGCCCAGAATCAGCGTTGTCCTTTTCCCAGAAGAAACTTCCTGATCCTGGTCTTTACTGGCAGAATTTCTACCAGCCTTCTGGTCTTCTGACCTCTGACCAGGATCTATCATACAGAACAGCCTAAGTTGTGCAGCTCTACTTTTTCAGCCACCATGCAGAAACCTTTCCTTTCTCTTTTGCTTCCCAGAAGCCAGCTCCAAAAGCTGCTAACCCACGTGGTCAGATACAGTCACAGCAATGACGTCAGTTCTCTGGGACCAACTTTGTCTTAGTTACTTTTCTTGTTACCAAGACAAAATCCCTGCTACCCAAGATTAAAGAAAGAAAGGTTTATTTAGCTTTCAGTTTGTGGAGGTTTCAGTCCATAATTGACTGGCTCCAAGGCAGGTTGGCACAGCAGACAGGCACTCAGGGGAGACAGTTCATGGTGAGAAGGCGGCAGCGTAGCAGGTGAGGGCTGACCGCAGCTCTTTATCCCTTGTGTCATATCTAGGCTACTTAGTGTGCGTTATCCAGGCTACTTAGGGTGAGTATAGCACTCGTAAGTACCCTTAAACTTACCGTTACTCTATGAATCAATCCCAGTGTCACACACTGTACATCCAGACACCTCTGCAAAAGCCTCACCAATGACTGCTCGAAGCTTTGGGGGAACATCTAGACATAAGCCATAACAGAAATGCTTACCAAGAAATTAAAAATACAATGTGCTATGTGAATAGAAGTGGTAATTAGAAATGTGTGCCTGAAACTAAAAAATATAAGCCAACTATTGACAAAAATTAGTGAAAGTATTATCTCTATCTTTCTTTCCTCTTTTATTCTTTTAAGCCCTTGTCGGGGCCCTAACATCCTAGTTAACAGTAAATAACTAGGCTTAGACAGCAATCACTGAAGCATCATTTAGTAAATATTCCAGGTTTTCCCATAGGTAAGCACTGTGGACCTGGAATACCGATCACACTTTTTCTTCCTGATGGAGTTTGGCTGTGGGATGCTCCCAAAGGTCTCTGTGTGAATGACACAGTCCCTAGAGTGGGAAGCGGTGGAATATTTAAGAGGAACTGTCTACCAAGTGGTCCTTAGGACTGTGGGCTTGTGCCCCCAAAGGGGATTGCCCACAGTTTCCAACTTGGCCCTCTTCTTGCTTTCTGGCAACAAGGGGAATGGTTTTGCTGTGTCATGTGCTCCTTATTTCAGGTACAAAAGTGACTGAGTCAACTGACTGGAATTCCCCAAATAGAGATCAGATAGCTCTTTTGATCTCAGATGTCTGTGTGATGGAAGTTGACCACTGTACTGCTTAATACAAGATATTTGGTCTTTAGAATCATACACCATGGAAGGCAGAGTTGGGGAGAGAACTTGGAGGTGATTCTGTCTGTCCCATCATTGCACAGATGACAAAAATAGAGTGAGGAGAGGCATTCATTTCTTTTTTATCACTTAAATTTCAGAGTTGGCATTTGTGCATTGCAATGTAAAGCTACATGGAAAGGCAAAGAGGTGTTCATTAATCCCAGACTCAGTGGGCTGACAGTCAATGCACATGCCTTTGGATGGCCACTGGGCTCATCCTCTTTCTTCTTTTTAACTTTTGGTACCAGGGTTCAAACTCACAACCTTGTGCTTGCCAGGCAGGTGGTTTTGCTGTCAACCTAAATCCTCAGCCCTCATCCTCTTTCTTACCCAAGTTTCCTGCTCGCTCTCTTCTTCTAAGATAATGTCATATATTATTAGAAAATACTCCTCAAAGATCTGTCTCTTTCCTTCCACAGAGGAACTGGGGACTGTTGGCACCCTAGACCTGGCATGATGAACAAAATCCACAGACCACCGTTCTTCTGTTCTTACTTACTTGACTGTTTTCTCTCAGTTTTAATTGCCTGGATTTTAGTGTCTGTGGTAAGATCTTTGGGGTAATGTCACACACCTCTGAAGTCCCTCTGCTGATTGCAGGCTGTGCACTCCAAGCAGTGACAGCCGCTTCTGGAAAGTGAAGAGGACAGGATTTTCTTGGCTCAGCCAGGACCTCACAGAGACTGCTGTGCCGTGTAAACTTGCAAACAGCTGGCTCGATTTCACAATTTTCACATCCATTTCATTTACCGTACTGGCCTTCTTCAAAAAAGTCTCTGTCCGGTATACTTAGATGTCCTGTGTGATCAGTTGTAAAACAAGATTTAAACATCTGAAGTGTGAAAGTACGATTTTCTTTTTCATTTTATAGCATTTAAATAATTTTACCATTTAATTTTAATCACAAAAGAACACGCTAAACAAAAGGTGTGGTGATAGAATTATGAAAAAATTCAATGCTTTTATACATGTTGAAATGTTCTGCAGTGAAAATGCATTTCACTTGCTTTGTGAGTTATAAACAAGGTTTTAAAGCACCTCATGAGCCGCGCTGGGAATTGTGGAACGCTGTGACCTTGCATCTCTATCAAGCCCTCACCTCTAAAATGAGGTCAGCACTGACTTAGAGGTTGTTGACTACTTTGGAGTTTCATGACTCAATGAAAAATCTGCACTCATCATTGTTTAGAATTAGTTTTTAAAAAAGAACTGAAAGGAAAACAATAAGAAAAGAACTTTTGCAAATGAGAAGAGGAGCAAGAGTTGGAGGGAGCAGGAGGAGAGGGGCAGGAGTAGGGGAAGGATATTGAAAACAAGAACCGAGATGTGATCCATACGTGTATCAACAACCACAATAAATGTCATCGTGATCACTGCAAACATGAACCAACAACAAAGGGGAAATAGATTTCTAAGTGCCGGGAGATGACTTCCAAACTAATTTTATCATCTACAACCCCAGATTTAGGGCTGGAACTTCCTGTGGAGCCTCGATCTGAGGAGTGGAGGTGACGGCCAGGACAGGAGCTCACAGCATCAACGCTTCGTCTTTGTGTTTCTCTGGTGTTTTGCTCTGGGTGTCTAAGCGAAATGCTCTTTGTTCTGTGTTCCAGAGTCAGAGGCATCTGTGCCACGTGGCATGTAGATTTATAACTCTGGCCAAAGGTTTCAACAGATACAGATTTTTTCAATCCAAAGTCCACTTGTGTGTGTGTTTTCAGAAATTAAAACAATACGTTTCTGTCTGCTTCTCTCTTAGCCCAGGAGCCCGTGGGACCTTGGCAGTGGTGAAGGACTTCTTACAGGTCTGGTGACAATGACCGTCTCCAGCAGGCTGGGGCTGCCTTGAGGTCACACAGGGCTTTACTTATTATTGTCTTTTTTTGAACTGAGGTGGTATCTGCCTTGAGACAGGCCGTGTCTAGAAACAAAGACACTGTACCTGTTACGATGCTTCCTAAGTTGGCTTAAGTGGAAATAATCTAAAGTCTTCTTGCCTGACAGTTCACTATAATGTTGTAATTGGAGGAGTTACCCAGCAAAAGTATGAGTTAAAAAACAAAGAGGACAAGGGCTAGGATTAGGTCTGGAATATGCAAAGAACGCCAGACAGTTTCTTATTTAATACCCACAATCTAGGTACACGATCTGAAAGATGAATCAGAATCTTCGATGGCTCAATTACCCTGACCCCCACCCTGCCACACTCCTCCCATGCAGACAGGTGACGGCTACGGTGCACGAGTTCTTCCACACCCTGCGGGTGTCACCGAGCAATTTTTTTTTTTTTTAGCATCTCACATATACATGGCTGGACTAATACATAAATCTTACGGGGGTACCCAAAAAGGAAAACATGGTTCACGTGTCTGAAGTCTGCTAAACAACACTTCAGACAAATTTCACTCAGAGTCAGCCTAATGAAACTGAAACCTCTCTAGTGCACAAGTATGTGTAAGAAATCCACTTTGAGTCCAGCCCAAAGCTGGTGAAGCTAGGTACTACAGTACAGGGTGGTTTACCACTAGGTTTTGTGGCAGAACCCAGGTATGCAGCTAACCTTTGAATTACCTAATCTGGGAAGGTGCCGGTTGACCTAAGAAACAGCTGAAAATGAAACTCTGTGCACCAGAGATGGAAAAGTACACCTTCTTATATTTTCATAAGAAATCCTTGAAAACGAAAGTGATATGAATCAGTTCTGTTTTGCTCTTGAGAAGTTTACCATCTAGAAGGAAAGCAAACAAAGAGTAGCAACCTTAAAAAATAATTTAAGTGCTGTCTAAGTGTATATCAGGGGACTCTCAGAACTCGCAATCCAGACAGAAGGTGAGGGTCAGAGAAGGGGAGGGTCTCTAACTAGTTATAAGAAATTCAGAGCACAGTTGTTACATCTTTTTTTGAATATGACAGTTGCCATCTAAATAAATCAAACAATAAGAAAGAACTAATGCTTGATACATTGTTTTATTATTTTTAAAGTTGTATGTATTTATGGGGTACAGTGTGATCACTCAGTATCTGTAATGATCAAATCATGGTAACATTTGAGTTTTCTTAAACACTTACCAATTCTTTGTGTTGGGAAATGTCAAAGCCTTCTAAAGGATTAAAATTCTTTGCCAAATGTGTAAGAAATTGCTTTCATCTGTGGTGTCAGTATTTTTGGGATCTCAATACCTTTCTCTTGAATTAATACTCTTCCTTAATTTTTTAAAATAATAATTCACTTCTTTCACATCTTCCAAACCATGCCTCTGCTCGCCTTCACATAATTCTGTCATGGACCTCTTTCTAACCACTCAAACTGTTTAAATTCACGGGACATTGTTTCTTCTGGAAGATAAAGGCATGATGGCTTTTAGTACAGATTTTTTTTTTCCATTTTGGCCGCCTTGACTTCACCTGCCTTTTGTGGTGTCGCCCTCCTTCCCGCCTGTGCACTTCAAGGTCTGCTGAACAGTCACTGCTCCAGCAATGTGAGCCTGACCGTTATTTTCAGTACGTGATCCCACTTTATAAGTACAACTTAGGGACGTATTGATTTCCTATAAAGTTATCTGGGTTGAGTGAGATTAAAACTGGGGAATAGGGTCTATTTGGGAATGAGTAAAAGCCCTCTTCTCATGCCCTGACAAAGCTCTTTCTGTTCCATGGCTTAGGATGGTTTTATCCAAACTAGGAGTCTGACCAGGGTCGGACCAGTCTAACAAAACACAGTGGACACTGGAAATGTCTTTTCCTTCCATCATTTTTCATCAGCAGAGTTGATGTGTCTATTATTCCTCTCCACAGCAGATGCTGAAGGAATCAGGAATTTCAAGGATAGACCCTCTGATTTGCAGGCTGGGGTTACCCCAGGGGTGTCTTTTACATTCTTTCGTGTACTACAATGTCCTACACCCCTGAGAGGGGGGTGATTTTGTTGAGGAAAGGCAATCCTTAAGTATCTTTAGCTTGAGTTTGGATAAAATATAGCATTACTTCATTTATCCTAGAGAGGAGGGTGGTGGTAGGTAGTGGAGGGGATTTTTGGAACAGTATTTCCAAAAGCTACTTCCAGTTCAAAAATAAATACTTTGCACCAACTGATATGATCAGGCAGATTTTCTTGTTGGATCGTTAATGTGATGGATTATACTGACAGGTTTTTGAAACAGCTTTATTGAGATATAATTCACTTACTATAAAACTTATCCAATTAGGCATACAATTAAATGATGTTTAGTATAGTCACAGAATTGTTATCAGAATTTAATTTTACAATGTCTTCATCATTTCCGAAAGGAACACTGTATCTAACAGCTCTGAATCACACTAGATCTGCTCGTTAAGTCCAGCTTTAGTGCACCATGAGTCTACTTTCTGACTCTACAGAATTACCTATTCTGAACACTTTACATAAATGGAATCATGCAATACATGGTCTTTTGTGACTGACTTCTTTCATTTAGTATGCTGTTTTTAAGGTTGCTCTGTGTACTAGGTTTGTATCAGTAGTTTATTCTTTTTTATTGCTGAATAATTGTCCATTGTATAGAGATATCCATGCTTTTATGGATATTTGGGTTATTTCCATTGTTTGCTTATTATTAATAATGCATCTCAACATTTGTGTGCAGTGTGTTTGTGTGGAGATAAATATTCATATCTCTTGGGTGAATGGCTAGGAGTGAAATTTCTGGGTCCTATGGTAATTATACATTTAACCTGTTCAGAAATGAGAGTAAATACACAAAAGTGAGAACTTTTTTCAAGAAAATATTAAGGATTAGCTGTAAAAGGAGATCATGATTGGGAGTGAGAGGGACTGTCTCCAGTTAGGCTGACTTAACTCTGATGGTCTGAATATCAAGGATGGTGAAAAATATCTTCTAGACAACCCTTAGAAAGCAAAAAATTTAGTTATAACATTGTAGGACCCTTTTTTGATTCAGACAGGTAAGTAGGTACATTTTTATATTCTTGCCAGTTTTAAATGACAGGTCTCAGAAACAGGGAGGAAACTCTATGAATTTCATTGTCTACAGTCAGATCTGGACCTTGTAAAGATATGCTGCCCAATCTAATGATCACTAGTCACACGTGGCTTGTAAAGTAAAATTAACTAAAATAAAATTTAGCATTTCATTCCTACTCACTGTAGGCATGTTTAGATTGCTCAGTAGCCAAGTGTTGCTTGTGGCCCTATCTCTTACTGCAGCAAGTCAGTCATACAACACTGTTTCAAACACCAGAGTGTAGTTCACAGCTGGGGATGATTTCATCCCTAAAGGCACCTGGATATGTCTAGAGCTATTTCATTTCATACAACTCGAAGGAATTAGGTGCTGCTGTTCAGGGATAGAGACTGATAGTGTTGCTAAACAACCTATAACACAGGGTGTACTCTCTACAATTGGCCATCCCCAAATGCCAATATTGCCAAGCTTGGGAAAGCCCTTTCTAAACCAGCCATACCTAAATTTGATCAAAAGACTCCCTGAAAAAGTCAACTGGAAAGCTTATAAAGCTCCTCAACCCTCTGTCCCACCTTGAAGAGTCTCATTATAGAATATGAATACGATTATAGGATCTACATTGTTTAAAAGCTTCCAAGAGATTCCTATGATTGGTTAGATTCAAGAATGACCGTATTAAAGAAGATTGATTCTCCACTCTCAGTCCAGAAGAGAATCACCTGGTAAACATTGCAGTACTCCTGAAATAAGGAAAGACTCCATGGCCATTACTTCTGTTTAATTTCCCCAGTTACCTGTCTCTCAACTAATGGTGTCATTAAGCCCTTAAGAACTGCATTAATTTCCGTTTTTTAGTTCTTTCTGCATAAATCTAGTTTGCAAGGATAATATCTTGCTAAATATTATACACTTTCTGTTTACAAACAGAACAAACAGCCTGGAAAATGTTTGGCAGCTGTCTTTGTTCAATGATGTTTAATAGGAAATAGCTGAGCAAACCAGAATACCAGCCCTGAAGGTAGCACAGGAAGGCATATTACAGTCCCTTGCTACCAAATAAGGCAGGCAAGTGGGATTCATTTTAAGTGGTTGAAGCTGCGTGCTTTAATGTCAATATAATTCTGCTGAGTTTAAAAATGTTTCAATGAATTAATTTCAGCTTTAATTTTTCTTTCCACTTATCATCACACTGTAATAAATTAGCAACAGGGAATAGACCTTGCTCTTGAGATTTAAAAGGTGCTATGCTGTGGTAACAGAAATGAAACATAAATACACGTAACTGTAAGAAAATATTTTAAATTTTCTTATAGGAAATACAAATTTGAGAAGAAGAGATACTTTCTTATGGGGAACTGGGAACTTTTCATTAGCAGTCAAAGCCTCTTTGGCTTTCTCCTCACTTATCTAATAAATACTAGCTGACTCCACTTTAGGCTGGATTTTATTGTAAGTTTTCGCATCACTGGGTCAAATACGTGACATTTGTAACTTGTAGTATGTGTTCATTTGGATCACGGTTTCAGAGGTTTCAGGCATGGCTGCTGCCTGGCTCCAGGGCAGAAATATCCTGGTGGAAGGGTACGGTGGGGGAAAGGTGTTAAGCTTGTATGGAAGGGCCACAAAGCAGGGGAACAGTGCCAGGGAGGAAGGGGCCAAGGTAGACCCCAAACTCAAGCCTCCATGGTTCCCCCAGACGCACAAGGTGTGTTTTCCTGATCCTCAATGTGACTCCCAAGTCAATTAAATTGAAAATTAAATTTAACCATCACACAGGTCTACCACAGCAGAGGCTGAGGCTAAGTAGACATATTCCCTGAATTCCCAGAAGGTAGCTTTCTGGAGGCTGGCCAGGCAGTTAACTGTTTATTGTGTATCTGTTATGTGCTGAGATAGGGGAGAGACACTGTAAAATTAATTCCTGGCTGTGTTTTTAATCACATTGACTTTTCTGAACACAGACATTTCAATTGCAAAGACATGATCGTAGGACACTCAGTCACTCTTAGCAATAATTTATCACGCTATAGAACTTAAGAGAAGGTATTCAATGACATGCTTCAGTTGCCGAGTGGGCAGTAGTTTGAACTTTAATCTCCTCCAGAAATCAGGGAAGAATTGTAATTGAGAGTTTACTGACATAATTCTTAGTTTGTTAATGTGTGCAAAAACTTTCTAGTAAAACCCACATGATTCTTAGCTATAAAACTAATAGCTATCTGAATTGTGAAATGATTCAGGAATATGATTACTATGTAGTACGTTGTATACATTTATAGTACATTGTGAAGTTTATATTAATTAGTGGCTTTAATTAACACTCATTATTTTAAGTTATAAAATATTTAAACATATAAAAGTGCAGAAAATGAATCATATAACATTTGTTCAACATGTCTACAATTGTTTGCTTTCTGTATTCAGGTCTCTTTGTCATTTTCAAATGAAATAGAATATTAAAGAGACAACTAAAGTCTCCCTTTATAGCACCAAATTCTATTGCTCAGAGGAAACCAGTGTCTTAAAGCTGGTAAATTAGCATTCCAAGTCTCTCCCACAACTCCAGTTTCTCCCAAAACTTCTGTGATTTGATTTCAATAAGCCATCAACTTCCTCAGCTGTATCATCAGTTCCAGACTAGAGATCAAACTCTAAAAGATGTCGTGTTTGGCACTTAGTAATCTGACCTTTGGTAATTCTCAGCTATTATCACTGAGTTCAATTAATCTTTATGCACAACTGACCTGATTTTATTTCTTTATTCCATGTTATTTCTCTCTTCCACGCTTTGGGACATTTCTCTATGTCCTCTATCTCAATGTGGCCAATTATTGTTCATCCTTAATTTAATGTCATTGCCTCAAGAAAGCCATCTCCATGATTTGCCTTTACTAGTGATTTTTTCTTTTTTTGCTAAAAATTCGGTTTGAATATCTGCATTCTGGTGTATCTATTATTAGGTAGAACTTGTCCAACTGCTGTTCATCTTATATTCCCCTAGAACTTTGCATGTTTCAGGGAACACATATGAAATTAACTAAAAGTATAAATGAACAAGTTGCAAGGCATATTCTGAGAATTCTGAAGGGTCTGAGATTTTACCACTCAGAAAGCTTAATAAGTTAATGTCATGATGTTGAGGATTCTGCCAGAAACCATGAGGCTTCCGGAATCAATGCTGACAATTCCCATTTTCACCAAAGGTGGTAACGGAGTGTCAGCAGGGCTGGACTGTCCCCTGGGACTCCAGCCCTTGGGTGGCACACATAGTGCACACACACATGCTGT